CTTCCCCCAAAAAAGAAAACCAATTAAAACCCCCTTATTTTTTGGGGGAATTTTACAAATTTGGGGGCTGAATAAATTACCTTTTTTTGCCCCCCCCGAAAAATTTACCCAAAGTAAAATTAATTTTTTAAGTGGGAGAACAAATTTGGTACAAAAACTTTTTTCCCCGGGACCCATTAAAAACGTTAAAAAGGTATGAATTTTTTATATACATTAAAAGTGGGGGAAAACAAAAAAACCAAAAAATTTTGAGGTTTTTTAAAAGGAAATTAAATTTGAATTTTTTATCATAAGGGAAAATTAACTGGAAAACAAGGAATTAAAAAAAAAACCGGGAAAAAAATCCCCAAGTTTAAAGTTTTTAAGGTTTAAATTTTGGGGGAAATTTTGGCCCCCTCCCCCTAAGTTTGATAAATTTAGGGAAAAAAGGTTTTTGTCCGGGGAAACCTTTTTTCAACTCCCTTCCCAAAAAAATTTTTTTTGGGGTCCCGGGTTCCCCGGAGGGGTTTTGGCCCCCCCCCATGTCCTTTAAGGGGCCCTTTTTTAGGGGGCCTGGCTTTGTGTTTTTCGGGTTCGGGGGCTGATAAAGGCCCCTTCGGGCCCAACTTATTTCCCCCTTAATTTGGGGGAAAGGGAAAAAAGGTGGTTTTGGGGGGGGGCCCCAAATCCCCGCCGGGTACATGGGCCCCCCCATTTCCCCCCCCAAAACGGTTGCCCGTTGTCCTGTCCCCCTTTTTAAAAAAAGCCCCCCCCCAAAAAATGGTTTTTTCCACCCCAATGCTTCCCCGGTTTGGGGTGGTTTCTTTGGGGTTTTACTAAAACCTTTTTTTTCCCCAAAAAACCCGGGGAGGGAGGGTTTTGAACCCAAAAACTTATTTTTTTATTTAGACCACTGACCCCTTTTCCCCCCTTTCCCCCTTTGGACATTCCAGATGGTCCAAAATTGGAAAATTTAAAAGGGAAAATGCGCCCGGCCCGGGGAAAGGGGGGCCTTGGGGGCGATACAGGATTTTAATCCCTGACGGCCGGGTGTTGTTCCCAATGGTTTTTTTTTTGAGACTGTGGGGACAAGCTCTTTAAAGGTTCCCCCCCCCCCAGGTCCTCCGTTTTTATTCTGGGGTGGGGCCCTCTTTTCATGGAACCCCCTTTATGCCCCCACGGGTTTAGAAAACCTTTCAGGGAGCCCCCGACCGAGGGGGATTTACGTCACTTGAAATTTTCCTTTTTCTAAAATTTCCCAAACATTGTTTCCTTTTCACAAACTGCTTTCCTATTTTCCTGTAGTATCCCCCCCGCCCCTTTTGGGGGGTTTCAAATTTTATCCCCTGGTTTTCCTTAAACAGTCATGGGCTTGGCAATTTTGGGGGGTTGGGTTTTCCTTTGATTAAATTTTGTGGAAGGGGGGTTTTTAACAGGTTTAAAGAGTTTAAACAGGTTCCCTTAATAAAAAGGGAATTTATTGGAGAACAGGAGGGCTTTTTAAAGAAAAAAATAACCCCCGGGCTGTGGAGCCCCAATTTTTAAGGTTGGTTTGGGTAAATACTTTTTATGCAAAAATGCAAATTTAAATTTCTTTTTAAAAAATTTCCCAAAGTGATTTTCTGGAAATTTTTTTTTTAGATTTCCCTTTCTCCAGTTGAATGTACCCATAAAATAATACAAGGGCCTCTAAAACCTTTTTAAATAGGGAAAAAAACCCGCAAAAAGGAAATGTTAATAATTGTTCTCCCAAATGTATATAAATTAGTTTTTATAAAATGTTAGGCTCAAAATTTAAATTTTAAAAATATAATATATTTTCTGTTTTAAAATATTATTTTTCCATCTTTGTCCTTCCCGCAGGTGTGCCGTTTCCCCCATTTTCCCCGGGGGTTCCCTTTCCCTTTTTACAAATGAACAAAAATGACATTCCCCTAGCCCGGCCCGTGTAGTGACTTTGGGCCCCCGAGGCTAAATGGTAGAAGCAGCATCTTTAAGTTTTCTCCCACTCTCTCTCCAACCCCTGCCACCAATTAAAAGACAATTTACTGGGACAAGTTTTAAAACCCCCGGGGAAACAGGGAAAAAATAGCCCCCCTATTGTTGGTCAAAATGAGACGGGTTTTGGGAAACTTCAAAATGTTTGGGCTTTTACATTAAATACACGATTTGTCTGACCCCGACCATTCTTCCCCTGACAGTTTTTTAAAAAAATGAGAAAAAAATTTGAAGCAGAGAAGTATTTGGTTTTTTGGGAAAACCCACGAGTCCTCCCCTGAAGACCACCTTCCTGGGCCCCCCTCCAAAATTTGGACAAAGTGCATTTTTGTTTTGGGGTAAATGGGTTTTCATGGGGCTTTGCTAGGAAGGGGTATGCAGGTCCCGTCTAACCCAAAAAAACCCTAACCCCCTTTAAACCCCAACTAAAACCCAACTTTAAAGGGTTTATGGCTACAAACCCCAAAACCCTTCCCCAAAGGGGAAAATGAAAAGGTCAGTCTAAACCTCCCAAAAAGGGGAAAACCCTGACAGGTCCCCCTTTTAAAACCCCAAACCCAAGGGGATAAAGGACAGGCAGTCTAATTCCCTTTCCAAGGGGATTTTGAAGGAGTTTTAATCCTTTCCCAAAGGGAATATGGACAGGTTTAGTTTTTAATCCCACCAAGGGATCCCTTTACAGGGTCAAGTCTTTTTCCTACCCCCGGGCATAAAGACCCGGGCAGTTCTAATTTTCCAAGGGGATCATGACAGGTCCCGTTAAAACCCACCCAAAGGGGATCATGGGCAGGTCAGCAAACCCAAACCACCCAAGGGCATCCCGGAAAAGGTCAGTCCCAAAAACCAATCCTACCCAAGGGAAACATGAAGGCAGGTTTCCCCTAAACCTACCAAGGGCAACCAGCAGGTCAGTCTAATCCTACCAAAAAAGGGGTCAGGGCGGGCAGTCTTTTCCTTCCAAGGGGGGATAAGACCCGGTCAGTTAACCCTACCAAGGGCATCATGATTTGGGCAGTCCAAACCCTACCCAAGGGAATCAGGCAGGTCAGTCTAAATTTCCCACCAAGGGCATCATGACAGGAGTCAATTTAAACCCAAAGGGCCCTCAAAAGGGGGTCCCGTCTAACCCCTACCCCCACCAAGGGCAAACCGGGCAAATCAGGGGAACCCAAAAGGGCATTCCCTGAAAAGGTCAGTCTAAAACCCCAAACCTACCAAGGGGATCATGCAGGTAGTTTAATCCCACCAAGGGCATATGACCCGGCAGTCTAAACCCCCCCAAGGGCATCAGGGCAGGTCAGTCTAATCCTACCAAGGGCACGGGCAGGGTTTAAATCTTAAACCTTCCAAGGGCATGGGCAGGGTCCCTTTTAACCCTAAAACCTACCAAGGGGCATAAAGGACAGGGCCCGTCTAATCCCACCAAGGGCATCATGACACGGTCAGTCTAACCCTAACCTACCCAAAGGGGATCATGACCGGTCCCGTCCCAACCCTAAAAAAGGGCACATGACAGGGCGGGCAATCCTACCAAAGGGAAACATGAAAGGTCAGTCTAACCTTCCAAAAAGGGGACATGGGCAGGAAGGTTTTAATCCTCCCCCAAAGGGCCATCATGACCGGGGGCAAATCAACCCAATCCCCACCAAGGGCATTTATGACAGGGTCAGTCTAACCCTAACCCTACCAAGGGCATCATGACAGGGCAGTCTAATCCTACCAAGGGGATCATGACAGGTCAGTCTAATCCCCCACCAAGGGATCATGACAGGTCAGTTAAAACCCACCCGGGGGTCTGCAGGTCAGCTAAACCCCACCAAGGGGGATCAAGCAGGGAAATCTAAACCACAAAGGGCCTTTAGACAGGTCAAACTAACCCAAACCACCAAGGGCATCATGAACAGCTAATCCTACCAAAGGGCATAAAGGCAGGCAGTCTAACCCTACCAAGGGGTCATGACAGGTCAGCTAATCTACCAAGGGCATCATGACAGGTCAGTTTAAACCCAACCCAAGGGGATCCTGACAGTTAGTCAAAAACCCCCCCCAAAGGGGATCATTACAGGTCAGTTTTAAACCCCCAACCTACCAAGGGGGGGCCTTGGGCAGGGCAGTTAATCCCAACCCCAAAGGGGCCTCAGGGCCCCGGTCAGTTAACCCTACCAAAGGGCCCTAAGGGCGGTCCGGTTAAACCTACAAAGGGGGATAAGGGCAGGTCAGGGTTTAAACCTTTCCAAAGGGAACATTTACAGGTCAGCTAAAACCCAATCCTACCAAGGGCCCAAGGGCAGGGTCAGTCTAATCCTACCAAGGGGGATCATTTGGAAAAAGGTCAGTCTTAAACCCCCAATTCCTACCAAGGGCACATGAAAGGCAGTCTAACCCCCAAACCCACCAAGGGCATCATGACAGGTCAAGTCTAAACCTAAACCCAAAGGGAAACAGACAGGTCGGTTTTAATCCTCCAAGGGCATCATGACAGGTCCCCGTCTAACCAAATCCCACCAAAAGGGACATGGGCAGGTCAGTCAATCTACCAAGGGCATCATGACGGTCCGTCTAACCCCAAAACCCCACCAAAGGGATCATGACAGGTCAGTTAATCCTACCAAGGGGGTCAGGGGAAAGGGCAGTTAATCCTACCAAGGGCTCAGGGCAGGTCCCCTCAAACCCCCCCAAGGGGACATGGGGAGGTCAGTCTTAAACCTACCAAGGCATCATGGGGCGGGAAAATTTTAACCCCCCCAAGGGGGAAAAATGACAGGTCATTCAATTTACCAAGGGCATCCCCTTGGGCAGGTCAGTTAACCCTAACCCTAACCCAAGGGCACATGGCAGGAGTTTAACCCCAATAATACCCAAAGGGGGCATGGAAAGGGCAGTCAACCCTACCCCAAAGGGGGGTTTATTGGGAAAGGGCAGTCTTTAATTTCCCAACCCCAAAGGGGATCAGACAGGCAGTCTAAATTTTCCCACCCCAAAGGGCCCTAAAGACAGGTCAGGCTAATCCCACCAAGGGCATCATGACAGGTCAGTCTAATCCTAACCCTACCAAGGGCATCATGACAGGTCAGTCTAATCCTACCAAGGGCATCATGACAGGTCAGTCTAACCCTAACCCTACCAAGGGCATCATGACAGGTGAGGAGAGGGTCTAGAAATAGAATGATAGAGAACCATTTAATCTGTGCTGTGATTGGTTTGAGTTCCTTGAAGTACCTGTGGAAGTTTGACAGTGTGTTGTTGATGTTGTTGACAGGCTCTATGACCGTAGGAGACCTGGTGATGGTGAACGGTCTGCTGTTCCAGCTCTCTCTGCCTCTTAACTTCCTGGGCACCGTGTACAGAGAGACGCGTCAGGCCCTGATCGACATGATACTCTCTTCACACTGCTCAGTGTTGACACCAAGATCAAGGTAACACACACTAATTGCACCCTATTCCCTATGTAGTGCACTTCTTTTGGGTCAGAGCCCACCTTGTGCTGATCTATCTAGAACACCAATTACTGACTAGCTGCACTCAGTATTCCTAAGGGTTAGGTTCTATACTTCTAGTCCAGTTCCTCTCCTGTCTCTCCTCTGTCTCTCCTCTGTCTATATGAGAAGGAGCTGGCCCCTGCCCTCCTTGTGACCCCCCCCCAGGAGGGTTAGAGGTTAGAGGTTAGTATATAGTAACTAGTCTATCCTAACGCTGTCTCTCTACTCTAGGAGAGAGATCTGGCCCCTCCTCTCTCTGTGACCCCTCAAGAAGCCACCATCAGGTTTGAGGATGTCTACTTTGAGTACCTGGAAGGACAGAAGGTTCTAGAGGGGGTCTCCTTCCAGGTGCCGGCTGGGAAGAAGGTGGCCATCGTGGGAGGGAGCGGATCAGGGTAGGTACTCGTTTAGAAAGGCCTTGACCTGTCGGAAATGGTAATATTAAGTGCACTGGTCAACAGTAGGGTTGGAAAATTCTGGTAGCTTTCTCAAAGTTTCCTCATCCTGGTCTGGACGTGTCTGATTGGCCACGTCTACATACATACTCACAGTATTCCAGATAGTAGCTCATATCCTGCTTAAGGTCTAATTCGGGATCAGCTGTTTACAGTGAGAGGAAAAAAGTATTTGATCCCCTGTTCTTACCCCCCCAAAGTAATAATGGTTCGGGCGGTGCAGTTGCCGTACCAGGCGGTGATGCAGCCCGATGTACTGAGAACCCAGCTGGCTGTATGGACGTGGACAGTATATCCGCAGAGAGCCATGATTCTGTGAAACAGAGTATGTTACAGTCCCTGATGTCTCTTTGGAAGGAGATCCTCGCCCTGAGCTCGTCTACTTTATTATCCAGGGACTGAACATTAGCGGGTAATATGCTCGGAAGCGGTGGATGTTGTGCACGCCTCCTGAGTCGGACTAGAAGTCCACTCCGATAACCTCTTCTCCACCGGCGGCGTCTTGGAGCAGCCTCTGGGATAAGTTCAGTTGCCCTGTGGGGTAAGAACAAAGGATCCGATTCCGGAAAGTCGTATTTCTGGTCGGAATGCCGGTGCGTTACCGCCGCTCTGATATCCAAAAGTTATTTCCAGCTGTTCTGGGCTAATAATGTTAGAAATAACACCCAAAAAAAAACGAAATACCGCAAAGTTGCGTAGGAGCTAGAAGCAGAGCTGCCATGTCTGTCACCGACATTGGTTCCACATTCAGGAAGAGCACCATAGGAATAATGGTTCTGTGTTTCAGGAAGAGCACCATAGGAATTATAGTTCTGTGTTTCAGGAAGAGCACCATAGGAATTTAGTTCTGTGTTCAGGAAGAGCACCATAGGAATTATGGTTATGTGTTTCAGGAAGAGCACCATAGGAATTATGGTTCTGTGTTTCAGGAAGAGCACCATAGGAATTATGGTTCTGTGTTTCAGGAAGAGCACCATAGGAATAATGGTTCTGTGTTTCAGGAAGAGCACCATAGGAATAATGGTTCTGTGTTTCAGGGAAAGGGCCCCTAGGGTGATGGGTTTTTGTGTTTAGGAAACACCAATGCGTTTTTGTTCCGGTTTTTTGGCCCCAAAGGGAAAAATCTAAAACCCCTGGGAAGAACCTCGGATGTTGGGCGGACAGTCCCCCGGGCGGCCGAGGATGGTACCACAGGTAAAAATAAATTGATTTGATAACTTTGATTTGATTGAACTTATTATCCTCTTAAGTTGGGGCACTGTGAGCGTATAAACACGGTTTTTTTCCTCAAAATTGAAAAACATTTGTTTCTCATTTATTTTGTTCTCCTGAGTTTCCCCCTCCCCAAGTTGACTGAAAGGCATCTCTCCCCCCCCCCCCCCCTCCTCCCCTACCCAGGGTCATGGCTCTTTTCCCCAACCCATCCCTTTTACAAAACCCTTTATACGGGGAAAATCAAAAGCCCGCCAGAGGGTTACCGGTGGCCGCTGGCAGGGATACACACCCATCCTCCCAATGCCACACGTACGACACCCGTCGGCGAGGGGGACTCAACTGTCATAGGGGGCGGGAGAGGTATCAAAAAGTCGGGGGTCGGGGAGAGGGCTAAATTGTCAGGGAGGGGTCGGAAAGGGTATAAACGTCAGGGAGGGACCCGGGGGGGGGGGACCAAAATGTCGTAGGGGGCGGGAAGGGACTCAAAAGTCAGGGGAGGGGGGGAGGGGACTCAAACGTCGGAGGGGTCGGGGAAAAGGGGGTCAAAATGTCAGGGGAGGGGGCGGGGAGGGGACTCAAACTGCAGGTGGGGAGAGGGGACTCAAACGCCCCCCGGATCGGGGGAAGGGGTCAAAATTAAGGGGGAAAGGGGCCCGTGGTAGGGGGGGGGAAGGGGACTCAACGCAGGAGGGGCGGAGAGGGACTCAAACTTCGGGGGGTCGGGGAAGGGGGGCTCCCAAAAAGTCAGTAGGGCGGGGGAAAAGGGCTCAAACGTCGGTTGGGTCGGGAGGGGGACTCAAAATGGCAGGTAGGGGACGGGGAAAAGGGCCAACTGTCAGGGGGAAAAGGGAAATTCCGGGGGGAGGGGGCTCAACTGTCGGGGGGGCGGGGGAGGGGGCCAAAAAGTCGGGGGGGAGAGGGACCAAAATGTCGGGAGGGGGCCCGGGAGAGGATCAAACTGTCAGGGAGGGGAGGGGCTCAAACTGGCAGGGGAGGGGGGGGAAAAGGGGACTCAAAATTAGGGGGGTCGGAAGGGGGCCAAAATTCAGGGAGGGGGAGGGACTCAAACTTCAGGGGAGGGGGGGGAGGGGGACTCAAAACGTCAGAGGGGGGGGGGAGAGGGGGCCAAACTTCTAGGGGGTCGGGGGGGGGGGGGGTCAACGTCAGGGAGGGTCGGGGAGAGGGGGGTCAAAATGCGGTAGGGGGGCGGGGGGAAGGGGGCTCAAACTGTCAGGGAGTGGAAGGGGACTCAAACTGTCAGGGGAGGGTCCCGGGGGAGGGGACCAAACTGTCAGGGGGGGTCGGGGGGAAAGGGGGCCCAAAATGTCAGGTAGGGGGAGAGGGGGGGGGGAAACCCAAACTGTCAGGGGAGGGTCGGGAAGGGGGCTCAAAAACCCGTCAGGTAGGGGTCGGGGGAGGGGCTCAAATGTCAGGTATGGGGGGGGGACCAAATGCAGGTAGGGGGGGGGAGAGGGGCTCAAAATGTCGGTAGGGGGGAGGGGGTCAAAATGCAGGTAGGGGGCGGGGAGGGGGGTCAAAGCCCAAAAGGCGGGGGGGGGGCTAAAGGAGGGGGGGTCAAAGGGTCCCCAGGTAGGGGTCGGGAGGGACTCAAACCCGTCAGGTAGGGGAGGGGACTCAAACGTCAGGTAGGGGCGGGGAAGGGACTCAAATGTCATAGGGCGGGGGAGGGGCCAAACTGTCGGTAGGGTCGGGGGGGGGGGACTAAAAGTCAGGTAGGGGTTTGGGGGAGAGGGGATCAAACGTCAGTAGGGGTCGGGGAGAGGGGACTCAAAATGTCAGGAGGGGGCGGGGAGGGACTCAAAAATGTCAGGGGGGTCGGGGAGGGGGCCAAACGTCCCGGGAGGGGGCGGGGAGAGGGGACTCAAACTTCAGGGAGGGGGCCGGGGAGAGGGGCTCAAACTGTCAGGTAGGGGGCGGGGGGAAGGGACTAAAATGTCAGGGAGGGTCGGGGGAGGGCTCAAAACTTCAGGGGAGGGGGCGGGGGGAAGGGGACTCAAACGTCAGGGAGGGGTCGGGGGGGGGGGACTCAAACTGTCATAGGGTCGGGGAAAACTCAAAATGTCAGGTAGGGGTCGGGAGAGGGGACCAAACTTCAGGGAGGGGTCGGGGGGAAAGGGGCCCTTTTAAAAACCCCCCTGTCAGGTAGGGGAAGGGGACTCAAAAGTCAGGTAGGGGGCGGGAGAGGGGGCTCCCAACCCGGGGGGGGGCCCCCGTCAGGTAGGGGCCCCGGGGGAGGGGCTCAACTGTCAGGGGGGTCGGGGAAGGGGACTCAAAATGTATAGGGGTCGGGGCGGGATCAAAAAGTCAGGGAGGGGAGGGGACTCAAACTTCGGTAGGGAAGGGACTCAACGGGCAGGTAGGGGGGGACTCAAAATTCGTAGGGGGGGTAAAATGTCTAAGCGGGTTTCCCAAATTCATTTTAGGGAGGGGGAAATTGGGGGGCGGCCAAACCGGGAGGGGTGGGGAAGGGGGGAAAACCCGGGGGGGGAGAGGGACCAAATGTCAGGTAAAGGGGCTAAAAAAGGGGAGGTGGGGGGGGGAGGGGGGCTCAAACTTTATTGGGGGAGGGGACCCTCAAAACCAAAATTCAGGGGGGGAGAGGGGACCAAAAATGTCAGGGGGGGGGGAGAGGGACCCAAAATGTCAGGTAAGGGAAGGGGACTCAAACGTCAGGTAGGGGGGGGGAAGGGGGCTCAAACTGTCAGGGGGGGGAGGGGGACCAAACTGTCGGTAGGGAGGGGACTCAAAATTCAGTAGGGGAGGGGGACTCAAAAATTTGGGAGGGGTCGGGAGAGGGACCAACTGCAGTAGGGGCGGGGGAAAAGGGACTCAACTGTCAGGTAGGAGAGGGGACCAAAATGTCGGGAGGGGGGGGAAGGGACCAAAATGTGGTAGGGGGGAGAGGGGGCTCAAACGTCAGGGAGGGGGGGAGGGGACTCAAAATGTCAGGGAGGGGGGAGGGGACTCAAAATGTCGGTGGGTCGGGGGGAGGGGACTCAAACTGTCTAGGGGGGGGGGGGAGAGGGACCAAACTGTCAGGGGAAGGGGGTCGGGGAAAGGGGACTCAAAAGTCAGGGAGGGGGTCGGGGAAAAGGGACTCAAAAGTCAGGGAGGGGGGAGGGGACTCAACTTAGGTAGGGGAGAGGGGACTCAAACTTCGGGAGGGTGGGGGAGAGGGGCCAAACTGCAGGGAGGGGGCGGGGGGAGGGACCAACTGCAGGGAGGGGGGGAAGGGGACTCAAAATGTAGGTAGGGGTCGGGGGGGGAAAAACCCAAAATGTCAGTAGGGGGGGAGAGGGGAAATCAAACTTGGGGGGGGCCAAAAAAGGGTTTGGGGGGGAGGGGACCAAATGTCGGTAGGGGGAGGGACCAACTTCGTGGGGCAGAGGGGGCTCAAACTTTAGGTAGGGTCGGGGGGAGGGGCTCAAAATTCAGTGGGGAGGGAGGGACTCAAACTGTCAGGGAGGGGGGGGGGGAGGGGCCAAACTTCAGGTGGGGGGGGAGAGGGACTCAACTGTCAGGTAGGGGTCGGGGGGAAAAGGGACTCAAACTGTCATAGGTCGGGGGAGGGGGCCAAAAATGTCAGTGGGGGGGGAGAGGGGATCAAAAATGTCGGTGGGTCGGGAAGGGGGCCAACTGTAGGGGGCGGGGAAGGGGACCAAACTGCAGGGAGGGCGGGGGGAGGGGGCCAAACTGTCGTAGGGGGGGGTTTCCCCGGGGGGAGGGGACCAAAATGTCAGGTAGGGGGCGGGGGGGGGCTCAACTGTCAGGTAGGGTGGGGGAGAGACCAAAATGTCAGGTAGGGAGGGGGAGAGGGGGGGAAGGGGCCAAAATGTCAGTAGGGGTCGGGGGGGAGGGACTCAAAATTCGGGGAGGGGTCGGGGAGAGGGGACTCAAACGTCGGGGGGGGGGAAAGGGGCTCAAACTTTTGGAGGGGTCGGGGAGAGGGACTCAAAATTCAGGGGGGGGCGGGGGGGGGGGACCAAAATGTCAGGGGGGGGGAGAGGGACTCAACTGTCAGGGAGGGTGGGGGGGGAGGGGACTCAAAAAGTCAGGGGGGGGTCGGGGGGGGAAAAGGGGGACTCAAACTGTCGGTAGGGTGGGGGAGGGACTCAAAATGTCAGGTAGGGGGCGGGGGGAGGGGGACCAAACTGTCAGGTAGGGGGAGGGGCTCAAACTTCAGGTAGGGGTCGGGGAAGGGACTAACTTTTGGTAGGGGAAGGGGGGTCAAAATGTAGGGGAGGGGTCGGGGGAAGGGGGCCAACTGTCGGTAGGGGGCGGGAGAGAGGACCAAAATGTCAAAAGGGGGGAGGGCCTGTTTGGGGTGGGGGAGATTTGACTTTCCCGTTTTGTTCGGGGAAGACGCAAACTTCCTTTTCCGGGGAAATCTTAGTACCCCCGTTCGTCTCTTTCCTTTGCTTTTAGACTTCCTGTTTTTTGTGGGGGGTCAAGACTCAAACCCCGTTCGTTTGGGGGGTGTTTTAAACTGCTTTTGGTTTTTTTTTGGGGGAAGACTCAAACTTCGTTTTGGGGCCCGGGGTCAAACTGCAGAGGGAAACCCCTTCTGTTTTGTTTTTTTGGGAAAGGGGGTGGGGGGGAAAATCCTGTCGTTTGTTTCCGAAAACCAAATGTCCCGGTTTTTGGGGGAAGATGGGACTTTTCCCTTTTTTGTTTTGGTTTTGGAGAGATTCCTGGTCCCTTTTTGGGGAAGATGCAATGTCGGGGGTTTTTGGGGGGGAACCGTTTGGTAGGGGGGGGAAGAGAACCCCCCACTGCTGAAAAGAAAAGGCCTAGGGCCCTCCGGGGGTCCCCCCCTTAAATCTCCTGTTTCTCTTTCCTTTGTCCAACCCCCTTTGCCCAAAGTTTTGGGGGTTTTGGGCTCCCCCTTGAAGGTGCCCCTTATTTACTTCTTTTTTTTCTTTTTGGCTTTTTAAATGGGGAAGGGAATTCCGGCCCGGGTTTGGGGGGGGTAGGACCAAATTGCTGGTTTGTTTCTGTGTTGACTTTTTTTGTTTTTTTGTTTTTTCCCAAAACCGGCTATTTAAAACCGCCCGTCTTTTGGTTCGTTGCGCTAAAAACTTCCTTTTCTTTCTTTTCTTATTTTCCCTTTTTTTTTCTCTGTTCTAAAACTATTTTTGTTCCGGTTGCCCCGCCAAAAAAAAGAATGATGAAAATTTTGTTCCGGTCTTGTGCCTGGAAACTTTGGGGGTCCTGAGTCCCCTTTTTCCCCTAAGCAAAATTAACCCTGCATTTAGATTATTGTTTATATATGTATTCAAATCAAATCAAATCAAATCAAATTTTATTGGTCACATGTGCCGAATACAACAGGTGCAGACATTACAGTGAAATGCTTACTTACAGCCCTTAACCAACAGTGCATTTATTTTAAACAAAAAAGTAAGAATAAAACAACAACAAAAAAGTGTTTGAGAAAAAAAGAGCAGAAGTAAAAATAAGTGACAGTAGGGAGGCTATATATACAATAGAATAAAGTGACAGTAGGGAGGCTATATATACAATAGAATAAAGTGACAGTAGGGAGGCTATATATACAGGGGGGTACCGTTGCATAGTCAATGTGCGGGGGCAACCGCTAGTTGAGGTAATATGTACATGTGGGTAGAGTTAAAGTGACTATGCATAAATACTTAACAGAGTAGCAGCAGCGTAAAAGGGATGGGGTGGGGGGGCAGTGCAAATAGTCCGGGTAGCCATGATTAGCTGTTCAGGAGTCTTATGGCTTGGGGGTAGAAGCTGTTGAGAAGTCTTTTGGACCTAGACTTGGCACTCCGGTACCCGCTTGCCGTGCGGTAGCAGAGAGAACAGTCTATGACTAGGGTGACTGGAGTCTTTGACAATTTTGAGGGCCTTCCTCTGACAACCGCCTGGTATAGAGGTCCTGGATGGCAGGGAGCTTTGCCCCAGTGATGTACTGGGCCGTACGCACTACCCTCTGTAGTGCCTTGCGGTCAGAGGCCAAGCAGTTGCCATACCAGGCGGTGATGCAACCAGTCAGGATGCTCTCGATGGTGCAGCTGTAGAATTTTTTGAGGATCTGAGGACCCATGCCAAATCTTTTTAGTCTCCTGAGGGGGAATAGGCTTTGTCGTGCCCTCTTCACGACTGTCTTGGTGTGTTTGGACCATGATAGTTCGTTGGTGATGTGGACACCAAGGAACTTGAAGCTCTCAACCTGTTCCACTACAGCCCCGTCGATGAGAATGGGGGCGTGCTCAGTCCTCTTTTTTTTCCTGTAGTCCACAATCATCTCCTTTGTCTTGGTCACGTTGAGGGAGAGGTTGTTGTCCTGGCACCACACGGCCAGATCTCTGACCTCCTCCCTATAGGCTGTCTCATCGTTGTCGGTGATCAGGCCTACCACTGTTGTGTCGTCGGCAAACTTAATGATGGTGTTGGAGTCGTGCCTGGCCATGCAGTCATGGGTGAACAGAGAGTACAGGAGGGGACTGAGCACGCACCCCTGAGGGGCCCCCGTGTTGAGGATCAGTGTGGCAGATGTGTTGTTACCTACCCTTACCACCTGGGGGCGGCCCGTCAGGAAGTCCAGGATCCAGTTGCAGAGGGAGGTGTTTAGTCCCAGGATCCTTAGCTTAGTGATGAGCTTTGAGGGCACTATGGTGTTGAATGCTGAGCTGTAGTATTCCAGAACATACTATGTTGAGGTAAAAATTGGAGTGTAATGCTTGTATAGATGTCAACCATAACACATGTTCAGCGATTGTTACCAATCAACCGCATTACAGTTCAAAATGACTTTGACTACCACCAACGATTTCTGTATGCTAGCAATGCTAACCAGCTTATACAAATGGGAGTTAGCATTTAGCAGTCACTTCTTCTAAAACGGAAAAGGTACAACTTCTACATGTTATGCAGCGAAAACAGCCAGATATATGCAAATCGGACTTAAGTAAGCACATTGGGGGCCTGTTACAATACATAACTCATGACGGATTTGACGAGTATCCACTTTGTTAGATCAGGTTTGTTGAATGTGCTCCAATCTGGTCAATGGAATGTTTGTGTTCCATTTACTCCTTAACCACATCTATACTTGATGTTCCTGTGTTGTTTCTATACAGCGTTCTAGAACTATTTCTAATACTTGATGTTCCTGTGTTTTCTCTACAGTATTATATAACTAAATTATTTATAATACTTGATGTGTTGTTCTGGAACATTCTAGAACTGTTTTTAATACTTGATGTTTCTCTACAACATTCTAGTACCATTTCAAATACTTAATGTTTCTGTGTTCTAGAGTGTTCTAGAACTATTTCTAATACTTCATGGTGATTCTGTGTACTTCTAGAACATTCTTAGTTCCATGAAGGGTCTGGTCCAGGACCGGACGTCCGTGTTCATCGCTCACAGACTGTCCACCATCGTAGACGCAGACGAGATCATCGTACTCAACAAGGTAAGAAGACCTTCTCATAGTGATTCTTCCAGGGAGGGAGCTTTTTTCCCCAACTTTTCCTGTTGAAAAGCAATATCCCAAGTATAAATACAGTAAATGACACACTAAAGGGTAAAGAAATATATTTGGGAGCAAAATAGTTTTTTTGGGGTTTTTTTTATATATACAACTGCATACAACTGCAAACTTCAAGGAGTGAGTAACTGTACTGAAATTAGAGACGTGGATAGTTACAATCCATTGGAGCCAGATGCGGTTAGTCACAGTTGTAACGTTAAACTATTTGCACATTGGTTACAAAACACTTTATAGAGACGATAAAATAATGAACATTTGAAATGGAGAGAGAGACAGAGAGCAAAAGAGAGATGGAGAGAGAGAGAAGAGAGAGAGAGAGAGAGAGAGAGAGAGAGAGAGAGAGAGAGAAGAGAGAGAGAGAGAGAGAGAGAAGAGAGAGAGAGAGAGAGAGAGAGAGAGAGAGAGAGAGAGAGAGAGAGAGAAGAGAGAGAGAGAGAGAGAGAGAAGAGAGAGAGAGATATTCAATACTGCATTTTGTGTCAAAGTCATTTTTACATGGACTTTAGTGTGACTCAACTGGACTTTATAGTAGCATAATCCTCTTTCTCTGTCCCCCCCCGTCCTTCTCTCTCTGTCCCCCCTCTCCCCTCGTCCTCTCTCTCCCCCCCCCCCCCCGTCCCCCCCCCCGTCCTTCTCCCTCTGTCTCCCCTCTCCCCTCCAGGGGAAGATAGCAGAGCGAGGGGACCACCACTCTCTGCTGGCTACTCCAGGGTCTCTGTACGCTGACCTGTGGAACACTCAGAACAGTAAGATACTGAACAGTAGGAACAGCCCAGTGGAGCTGCAGCCAGAGAGACTCAGCCAGAAGGAGCAGGAGAGGAAGAAACTACAGGAGGAGATCATGAACAGTGTCAAGGGCTGTGGGAACTGCTCCTGTTGAGGAGAGACAAGGACAGGAGGCCACCTCCTCTTCCCCACCTGCTTCAATACTTAAAATAAATAAATATGCCATTTAGCAGACGCTTTTATCCAAAGCGACTTACAGTCATGCGTGCATACATTTTTTGTGTATGGGTGGTCCCGGGGATCGAACCTTGGCGTTACAAGCGCCGTGCTCTACCAGCTGAGCTACAGAGGACCACTACTCCTCCCTCCTTCCTTCACTCACTGACAGTCTGCACTCTCTCAGGGGAGGGTACACCTACACCTCTCTCCATCTCACCCCTGCCACGCCAAACCCTGTAACCCACCCCCGGCTGGCTGCCCCTCCCCCCGAGAAGGCGATTGGTGGCCGAAGAGGAGACTGAGAAGGAAAGGCTGTCTGCCGTTGGCTGATGTCTACAGAGAGGCAGCGTTCATCTGCCAATCAGCTCAGCCCAAACCACGAACAAGACATCATGTTGTATATGACTAAGACCATGACTGAGTATTAACTTTACATTTACATTTAGAGCCTATTGGTCAGATCGGTGCCCATGTTGCATGATGTCATGTACAGTTTGGTAGAGTAATGGAATATGTATAATTATATAAAAGCACTGGAGAAAGAAGATGGGCTTTTTGTGTGAAAACCTGAATAAAGAGCAGTGATGTTCTGCTGCCTGTAGTAGATTGGTCCTGTGATCTGTCAGTCTGGTGAAGGTGAGGTCTTTCTTAATGCTGTCAGTGTGTGACTGATCATTCAAGACCATTTGGGTCAACGTGGGATTTCTGTCGGCCACCCTTGAAAGATGTCTGTTATTTTAATCAGTCAGTTTGGTCAGGTGACATCATGCCACCAACGTTTTGTCCCTGAATGAACTCCTCTCTGTGAGGTGAAAGGTCAGGCTGAGGTTTGTGCCCCCTACCGCCACTAACCTTAACCCCTCCTGTACCCTGCTGGGGGATCATTGGGGGATCTAGCTCATCACCATATAATAATAATAATAATTATTATTATTATTATAGAGCAGGGATATTACATTTACCTTTACGTCATTTAGCAGACGCTCTTATCCAGAGCCACTTACAAATTGGTGCATTCAACTTATGATAGCAAGTGGGACAACCACTTTTTATTTTAATGGGGGGGGGGGGGGGGGGGGGGGAAGGATTACTGTTATACTATTCCAGGTGTCCCTTAAAGAGGTGGGGTTTCAAGTGTCTCCGGAAGATGGTCAGTGACTCCGCTGTCCTGGCTTCGTGAGGGAGCTTGTTCCACCATTGGGGTGCCAGAGCAGCGAACAGTTTTGACTGGGCTGAGCGGGAACTGTGCTTCCGCAGAGGTAGGGGAGCTAGCAGGCCAGAGGTGGATGAACGCAATGCCCTCGTTTGGGTGTAGGGTCTGATCAGAGCCTGAAGGTAAGGAGGTGCCGTTCCCCTAACAGCTCCATAGGCAAGCACCATGGTCTTGTAGTAGATGCGAGCCTCAACTGGAAGCCAGTGGAGTGTGCGGAGGAGCGGGGTGACATGAGAGAACTTGGGAAGGTTGAACACCAGACGGGCTGCGGCATTCTGGATGAGTTGTAGGGGTTTAATGGCACAGGCAGGGAGCCCAGCCAACAGCGAGTTGCAGTAATCCAGACGGGAGATGACAAGTGCCTGGATTAGGACCTGTGCCGCTTCCTGTGTAAGGTAGGGTCGTACTCTCCGAATGTTGTAGAGCATGAACCTGCAGGATCGGGTCACCGCTTTGATGTTAGCAGAGAACGACAGGGTGTTGTCCAGGGTCACGCCAAGGTTCTTTGCACTCTGGGAGGAGGACACAATGGAGTTATCAATCATGGAGCGGGCAGCCCAGGGAGGAAGAGCAGCTCCGTCTTGCTGAGGTTCAGCTTGAGGTGGTGATCCGACATCCACACTGATATGTCTGCCAGACATGCAGAGATGCGATTCGCCACTTGGTTATCAGAAGGGGGAAAGGAGAAAATTAATTGTGTGTCGTCTGCGTAGCAATGATAGGAGAGACCATGTGAGTATTCAACTCTGACCTTACGAGGTCTGCTGCTTTTCTGTTCTACTTAATAACCTGATTAGAGGGGAATCACCCACCTGGTGTCCCAGGTCTAAATCAGTCCCTGATTAGAGGGGAATCACCCACCTGGTGTCCCAGGTCTAAACCAGTCCCTGATTAGAGAGGAATCACCCACCTGGTGTCTCAGTCTAGTCTAGTTTACTTGGTGATGCCATCCGCCGGCCCTATCCTTCCTCCTTACCATTGTGCCTTATATGATAAAGTAAGTGCCCTTTCTTGTTATACTGTTTGGAGAAATGTAAGTCCTAAATAATGTATACATAATGCTGCCTTAACTTTGCGAAATGTTCATCCTTATATCCATGCCCTCTGTTTATGCTAAATGCTATTGCTAATTTGTTCTAGTTCTGTGTTGGCAGTCTCCTCAGTTTATAGTTCTAGTTCTGTGTTGGCAGTCTCCTCAGTTTATAGCTCTAGTTCTGTGTTGGCAGTCTCCTCAGTTTATAGTTCTAGTTCTGTGTTGGCAGACTCCTCAGTTTATAGTTTCTAGTTCTGTGTTGGCAGTCTCCTCAGTTTATAGTTCTAGTTCTGTGTTGGCAGTCTCCTCAGTTTATAGTTCTAGTTCTGTGTTGGCAGTCTCCTCAGTTTATAGTTCTAGTTCTGTGTTGGCAGTCTCCTCAGTTTATAGTTCTAGTTCTGTGTTGGCAGTCTCCTCAGTTTATAGTTCTAGTTCTGTGTTGGCAGTCTCCTCAGTTTATAGTTCTAGTTATGTGTTGGCAGTCTCCTCAGTTTATAGCTCTAGTTCTGTGTTGGCAGTCTCCTCAGTTTATAGTTCTAGTTCTGTGTTGGCAGTCTCCTCAGTTTATAGTTCTAGTTCTGTGTTGGCAGTCTCCTCAGTTTGTAGTTCTAGTTCTGTGTTGGCAGTCTCCTCAGTTTGTAGTTCTAGTTCTGTGTTGGCAGTCTCCTCAGTTTATAATTCTAGTTCTGTGTTGGCAGTCTCCTCAGTTTATAGTTCTAGTTCTGTGTTGGCAGTCTCCTCAGTTTATAGTTCTAGTTCTGTGTTGGCAGCCTCCTCAGTTTATAGTTCTAGTTCTGTGTTGGCAGTCTCCTCAGTTTATAGTTCTAGTTCTGTGTTGGCAGTTTCCTCAGTTTATAGTTCTAGTTCTGTGTTGGCAGTCTCCTCAGTTTATAGTTCTAGTTCTGTGTTGGCAGTCTCCTCAGTTTATAGTTCTAGTTCTGTGTTGGCAGTCTCCTCAGTTTATAGTTCTAGTTCTGTGTTGGCAGTCTCCTCAGTTGTAGTTCTAGTTCTGTGTTGGCAGTCTCCTCAGTTTATAGTTCTAGTTCTGTGTTGGCAGTCTCCTCAGTTTATAGTTCTAGTTCTGTGTTGGCAGTCTCCTCAGTTTATAGTTCTAGTTCTGTGTTGGCAGTCTCCTCAGTTTATAGTCATTCTGTGTTGCTCCTCAGTTTATAGTTCTAGTTCTGTGTTGGCAGTCTCCTCAGTTTATAGTTCTAGTTCTGTGTTGGCAGTCTCCTCAGTTTATAGTTCTAGTTCTGTGTTGGCAGTCTCCTCAGTTTATAGTTCTAGTTCTGTGTTGGCAGTCTCCTCAGTTTATAGTTCTAGTTCTGTGTTGGCAGTCTCCTCAGTTTATAGTTCTAGTTCTGTGTTGGCAGTCTCCTCAGTTTATAGTTCTAGTTCTGTGTTGGCAGTCTCCTCAGTTTATAGTTCTAGTTCTGTGTTGGCAGTCTCCTCAGTTTATAGTTCTAGTTCTGTGTTGGCAGTCTCCTCAGTTTATAGTTCTAGTTCTGTGTTGGCAGTCTCCTCAGTTTATAGTTCTAGTTCTGTGTTGGCAGTCTCCTCAGTTTATAGTTCTAGTTCTGTGTGGCAGTCTCCTCAGTTTATAGTTCTAGTTCTGTGTTGGCAGTCTCCTCAGTTTATAGTTCTAGTTCTGTGTTGGCAGTCTCCTCAGTTTTAGTTCTAGTTCTGGTGGCAGTCTCCTCAGTTATGTCTAGTTCTGTGTTGGCAGTCTCCTCAGTTTATAGTTCTAGTTCTGTGTTGGCAGTCTCCTCAGTTTATAGTTCTAGTTCTGTGTTGGCAGTCTCCTCAGTTTATAGCTCTAGTTCTGTGTTGGCAGTCTCCTCAGTTTATAGCTCTAGTTCTGTGTTGGCAGTCTCCTCAGTTTATAGTTCTAGTTCTGTGTTGGCAGTCTCCTCAGTTTATAGTTCTAGTTCTGTGTTGGCAGTCTCCTCAGTTTATAGTTCTAGTTCTGTGTTGGCAGTCTCCTCAGTTTATAGTTCTAGTTCTGTGTTGGCAGTCTCCTCAGTTTATAGTTCTAGTTCTGTGTTTGCAGTCTCCTCAGTTTATAGTTCTAGTTCTGTGTTGGCAGTCTCCTCAGTTTATAGCTCTAGTTCTGTGTTGGCAGTCTCCTCAGTTTATAGCTCTAGTTCTGTGTTGGCAGTCTCCTCAGTTTATAGTTCTAGTTCTGTGTTGGCAGTCTCCTCAGTTTATAGTTCTAGTTCCGTGTTGGCAGTCTCCTCAGTTTATAGTTCATGTTCTCCCCATAGTCTCCTGGCTACTACTGATCACTACTTGATGATTCATGCACCATTTATGTCGATGTTTTCCTAATGTGTTCTTAATCCACATAGTTGGAAGCACAGAATCGTCTAGAATGTCATTGTATGCTGTAGCGTGAAGATTTCCCTTCACTGGAACTAAGGGGCTTAGCCCGAACCATGAAAAATACGATTATGCCTCCTCCACCAAACTTTACAGTTGGCACTATGCATTTGGGAAAGTAGCGTTCTGGCATCTGCCAAACCCAGATTCGTCTGTCGAACTTCCAGATGGTGAAGTGTGATTCATCACTCCAGAGAACGCGTTTCCACTGCTCCAGAGTCCAATGGCGGAGAGCTTTACGCTACTCAAGCCGATGCTTGGCATTGCGCATGGTGATCTTAGGCTTGTT